GTTTAAAATGCCTCCAGGCAGCTGCTCCACTATAAAGAGTGCAGGGAGATTTATAATGGAATTCTTTTTATTTTTCACATTAACTTTAACTGAGGTCATCTTCATATTAGCCAAAATGCTACTTTTACACCATAGATGCCAGGACTTGTGCTTTAAAATCTATTATTTGTGTCACTTGCTTTGCCCTCAGGTGTTTTTTCTTTTGTTTTTTTTAATGCAAAAACCTTACCGCAGACAGACACCTTCTTGTTTTGTGTCATATATATATATATATATATATATATATATATATATATATATATATATATATATATATAAAATATATATATATATATATATATATATATATATATTTTTTTTTTTTTAAATTAAAGTTTGCCTGTGAGACACTGGCTTTATATTGACCTTTACCTCGGACCATGTTTGCTTGGAATAAACAGAAGGGATGTAAAGAAAACAGCTCAATTCAATCATATCATGGAAATGGTCTGTGGGTGAATCTACAAACATTCAGACGCAACTAAATCAGGTTAATAAAAAGCTGATCAGTGTGTGTGTGAGAAGCCAGTTTTAATGCACATTTAAAAGCTTTAAACATCTTACATATATTCCAAATAACAGAAAAAAGGTAAGGGTGAGCAGTGGGAGAAATATTGAAATATCTAACTTTCCCAACCAGCTTAACATGGACATGCACTCTAAATTAGACAGCATGCAAGAATCTGGTGTTTTTTATGTGGAATTTAAGCTAATATGTTCAGTATTACTAAAATCACCACAGTCCAGTTCGTGCTCCATCCTTGGGTACAGTTAGATCCTCACATTGTGAATCAGTCTCAGAAAAACCAAAACAAGAGCAATTATCCAGAGCAGAGCATCAAATAATTTTTAAAAACAAATGTGAACATAGACAGAAAAACTGTTCATACTCATTGGGACTTTTGATTCTCGCCTCCAGGCTGACTGAATTTTGCCACAAAATGATCCTTTTTCTGTTCAGTTTCGATCTTAGATGTTACTGATCTTTTTATATCTCTTCCAAAGGAGTTAACTTTTTGGGGCATCTAATTTATCTTAAAAGTCTTTTTTCCAATTGAGAAAAAAAGATAACGCTGTGTTCATCCGTATTTTTTCCCCTCTTTTTTGAAAGATTTTGGAACGTCGACAGAAGCTGATAAAGAGAGCAAATGAGGCAGACTTTTTAGACGGCAGCAGAGACTGATGGAGAGAGTCAGACAGAGAGCAGTGAGACTCCCTCAGCACCAATAGGTCTGCTTTTGGAAAAGAGGAGGGGGAGGAAGGGGGGGGGCGGGGGGTTGCTCGGATTAAGAGGCTGAAAAATGGTTAAAACGTGTCAACGTGTAATTGCACGATAAGGCCCCCTCGCGAGGAATCTGTTGGCCCCGTTGCTATTTTCTATGGCGTCCCCGGCTAATCTCCTCGCGCCACATTCAGTCTTGTGCAATCGGTCCCCCGTAATCTCCCATGACAGAACCGGGTCCAACGACAGAGGTGAGGGTTTTTATAGGAGGAGAGGGAGGGAAATATGCGGAGGCGTGATAAACTGACGCTGATTATCCACGTTCAGGACACCAGGAGCACATGGAATGGATTGGGGAAGGGGAGGGGAAGCGGGTGCACGGGGTTATGGAGTGGGACGTACCAAAGCAGTGGTGTCCAAACATGTGCCAAGCTGAACATGAGGAGAGGAGGAAGACCTGCAGACACATGACTGTGGATGTGCGGATGCACAGGTCCAGCCCTCAGCCTCTCCTGATGATAGAAGCTGCTGCGTATAGCACAGTGTGGACCAGACCGAGCTGCACTTCTGACTGATGCATGCGCTGATTGATGTCTTTTTGCGTGGCGTATCTAGACAAGTGTCACTCGGGTATAATTTCATCTTACCTGGGTTTCGCGTCACATCAGGACCCGAGGATAAGCCTGATCATTTGAGTCCCACTTCTCTGATAATAGTAATTACTGACTCCCTTTCTCTTACACTTTGCGGAGGAAACGCTCCCATCATACCTCGAGGTTTAGCGAATCAATCAGAATAGCTGCGGCAGAATCCTCCACTTTCCCCTCTGCCATTTCCCTATCATCATATTAAGACATTTGCGATCAAAAAGTCCAATCAGAGCGGTATTCAGAGGCAATCATCTCACCTTTTATCACAATGAACAAATAATAATATCCTGCAGAAACAAGTTTTTGATGAGTGATAATTAAATAGTCAAATATCTCTTCACTTTTTTTTTGTTTAAATTATCTTTATTTTTTAATCCCCATTCTTCCACAGGAAGCCACGCTTTAGAAATGCGTCGAGGAGCTGAGAAGGAAGTGAAGTTAACTTCCTGCTCAAACTTGGCGTTTTTGCAAAGACTGCACGACGCTCTTTTTTTTAGTAGCGCTTCATTTCATGCAGCACGAAACCTGATTTGCAAGTCTTTTACAGCCTCAACATCTGGCCGATAATGTTGTAAACTCCATGAACAAGAACACGAATAATGGGGAATGGGGTTTATAAATGTAACAGGAAGTATTCTAAAGTAACGAAGAAAAAGTTCATCTGTACCTGACGTCAGTTGGGTTGTGTCAAAACTCAGAAAAATCTCTCTAATGTACATCATTGCATTTAGAAATGATTTTGTTCTTATAGATTCTAGTTTGCTGTTTTGTATTTTAGCTTCTATATTTACAGTATGTATTTAAAAAGAACTTACCTTACAGTGAGATACTTTGAGCTGTCCGTGTTAGAACACATGACCTTTAACCTCTGATCCTGGGCTCAGTCAGAATCTGGAGTCTTGCGTTTAGCCGTGGACGCTTGCATGGAGTTCCACAAAGTGTCACCTGTGTGATGTCCGAAGAGCATTTTTTATTCTGCTGTCTGTTTTTAACACGGTCTTAGTTTTAAACTTTTCCCAGCCTGCTTGGATCAGAGTCCATGTTGAAACATCCACTGACCTGTTAAAGCTTTCTGCTAACTAGTTCATTTTGTTTTTTCTTGTTTTAACCTTTTGTTGAAAATAATCCAAGTAGTGTCTTGTGAGCTCCTAAATGACCCCCTCTTTGATTGATGGGCTGTTTTCCCGCGTTAAAAATAAATCCTGATGATAAAAGTCTGTCATAGTGTATCGAAATGTTAGCAGCTTTTTTAATATCAGAGAGCAAAGACAGAGCCAAACAAACCTGGCATTTTATGTAGGGAAAGAAAGAAATTATATAAGACCAACTGTGTGCATATTAAATACCTGCTGGAATCATCTTTACTAGATGTAACTCGCATCCACGCTGCCCTCTCGCTTTTGAGTTCAGACCCGAGTGGGAATTAGTCTGATAAAACCACGGGTGTTGTTTGCCGGGCTTTTTGTTGGGGGTGACCTCCGGGTTGCCCCGGCTTACACCAGGACTAATCCCCCATTCTCCTCCAACACAAAAACCTCCTCTCCTCTCCTCGCCTTCTCCCTTCCTACCTCCTCCTGCCCTCATTCATTGCTCGCTCCCAACCCGGGGGCCTCAACAGATTCAGCCATCAAATTTAAAAAAGGAAATAATGTAACAACCGTGACAATTGCACATACAGATGGAGGCATTTGATGCTGGAGGTCATGGGATGGGGTAAGATTTGAGGGCCGGCAGTAGAGTAAAAGCACCCAGGTGAAAGCGAGCGTTGAAGTGGGCCTGAGTGAGGGCACTGGGTGAATTGACTATCGGATACTTGCGTTATTGGATTTTCTTCAGATTGCTGAGGTCATGACCCTGCAGTAAATAAGACTGAAGAGGAAAACCAAAAACAAACAAACAATTAAAAATTATTATAATAATAATATTTTGTCTTGGCCTATAAGTACAATCATTAAAGAAGCCAGGTGCACATTATAAAGTAAGTTTTAAATGATCAAGTAGGATCGGGTAGGTCAAACTGATGATGGAGACAAAAATGTCCTCTCATCCTAAAGAAGGGTATATTTTAGCCATGACTTCCACAAACGCACACACTGAGGCTATTTTATGAGTAATTTTTTCAAATACATATCCTACGTGTGTTTTTAGAATTTGGATGTAAGAGATACTGAAAAATAAACAACAACAACATGAAACAATTTCTCAAAATGGAAATAAAATAAAGCTTTGTATCTATCTATGGATGCGAATCACATGAGGGACAGTATTAAACATAGATATTAAAGAATAAAGGCACAGTTTATATTATATTTAAGAAAAAATAAAAAAAATCTTGAGTATTAGGACAGTGTTTGGCTAAAAATGTAGTCAATTTTTGTCTATATTTTAACCATCGACTGCACTCTTACAGATAAATTATCAGATTACAAAATATAGGATCCTATGTTGTCAGCACCTGAGTGTTTATTATTTTGAAATGCTTTTTAAAAAAAATTCTAGTGCAGAAAACCCCAAATATAAACAAACAAACAACAAAGACGATTAAAAAAAAATCTGCATTTACACCAATGAATCTGAATCTGTTCTCAGATGTCTGTTATCATCTTAATAATGATGATGAAAAGAGTAATGATGTAATCATGTAATGTAAAGAGTGATGTTAAGATTTTAATGGCGGGTAAATACCGTTTTTTAACTGTATCAATAAAACATAAATAAATTTAAAAAAAGGCTCGATCAGAATGAAGAGCAAAACCTGATCATGTTTTTATCAGAGGAGAAATCATCTATTAAAAACGCCGAGACTAATTCAAGGCATGCTATTATCAAAGTCACCTCTGTGGTTAGGAAACAGGCGTGCGTGCAACGTATTAATTATTATTTATTTCTTGTTTTGTGCATTTTTTGACCAGATTTGTTTTTCCCCGTCTACTTTAACGTTAATCCAGCCATACAAGGACGATCATGTGTCGTTATATCCTAACAATACAGCCGATGTAGATAACCAGGAATTCTCAGAGCAGTTTAAATATGCAGACATTAAACACACCACGAGCTTTCTCCAAGACAGAAGAAATTCTTTAAAATTTATTAAACTCGGCGCATATTCGTTTCCTCTTTAACCCCGCCCCTCCCTCAAAAGAAAAAGAAATTGCGCATTTTTATAAATTATGTACAATTGCATAAAAGCGTTTTCAGTAGGCCTATTTATTCACAATTTACAAGATTTTACAACAACAAAAACAAAATTCAAATTACACCGACTGACTCACATGTTTACAAGCATTAAAACTGGAAATCATTTTTAAAAACTGCAGCCTAGAAACTTTTTTTCTCTCCTTAGTCTTCTTCTCCAACACATCTTCCATTCCCGCCCTCCGCTCATTTTTCGGACAGCTTTTATGGATCCCTTAAACACACCGCTGGTGCCTTTAATTCCACAGAAAAGTCGGGAAAAAAATAACCTTCAAATCGCACCAGCACTTCACGGATTATAATTTAAATCGTGTGAAAAAAATAAAAAACAAAACAAAAAAAACCACTTGGCATGCTCTGTTCCAGAGAGCGATAGTGAACCGTGTGCGCTTTCCTTTAAACTCGGACAGACAGAAGAATCCATCACTGAAAGAAAAAAATATAATAACGATAAAAAAAAGTTTGTTCAAAGTGATTGCATTTTTATGGCTATAACCGCCTATAATTTACAATTCATCAGCAGCTCGTGCCCACATCTAGAGTGTAAATATTTGGTTGTGGTTTGTGGTGCTTGCAGGACATGTGGGGGAGTTTAAATGTGGGTCAGAGGAACCGTCCCGTTTACCGGAGTGGAGCCGCTGCTCTGGTAGTGCTGCGGGTGGAGCACGTGCAGTCTGCTCTGAACGGAGGAGTCCCCCGCCACCTCACCGGTCGGCAGATACATGCTGATCATGTCCCGCAGGTCCCCCGTGGGGCACGGCGGCGGTGCGCGCGCGGTGGACACCGGCGGGCTCACGCTCGGCTCAGATTTCACGAGAGACCCCAAAGTGCCGCCGATGGCCCCGGACACCGGAGACACGCCGGAGCTTTGGTGCTGGTGGGTGTAGCCGGTGATGCCACCGTAGCCCGGCGGAGACGCGCTCATGTAGCTCTGAGAGTTTGAGATGGGGCTGTAAGATAAGGCGCTCATGTCGTACCTGTGCACGGGCTGCGGGTTGTGCGGGTGGTGGTGCGGGTGATGGTGCGGGTGGTGCGGGTGAGCCCCGGTGCCCGGGTGTTGCGTGTACGCCAGCTGCGCCTCCTGCATCATGGCGTGAGCCGCCGCCGCTGCCGCCGCCACCTGGCCCGAGTACGCGCCGTTGGCCCAGCCGTTCACGTGCGTGGCGTAGCCTGCGTTTGGCCCCGCGTGCCCCCCTCCGGGGCTCTCCAGCCGCTGCCCGCCGCCCATCCCCACAGCCGCTGAGGAGCCGAGGAGCCCGCCGGCCAGCGAGTATTTGTCCTTCTTCAGCAGCGTCTTGGTCTTTCTCCGCGGCCGGTACTTGTAGTCCGGGTGTTCCTTCATGTGCATGGCCCGGAGCCGCTTCGCCTCGTCGATGAACGGCCTCTTCTCCGCCTCCGTCATCACTTTCCACTCGGCGCCGAGCCGCTTGCTGATCTCCGAGTTGTGCATCTTGGGGTTCTCCTGTGCCATTTTCCTTCGCTGACCCCGGGACCACACCATGAAGGCGTTCATGGGTCTCTTGATCCTCTCCTGTGGGACTTTGCCTCCGGCCCCCCCGCCTCCGCCTCCCGCGTGTCCCCCCGGGTTGGACGGGTTGGTCTGGGGCACCACGGGGGAATGTAAGTCCGTTTCCATCATGATGCTGTACATTCACCTCGTCTTTGTGGGACACCAGTCAAACACGAAGAAACATTCAGGCTGGCCCGCGCGCGCAGCAGCTAAACCTCCGAGGGAGAGATGGATGAAGAGTGAAAGAAGCAGAGAGAGGGGATGAAATCCGCTCAGAGGTAAACCTGCTCCCGCACTTCCTCCGTTTTCACCTCTTTTTTTCTTCCTCTTTTTTCTCCCCCCTCTGTCATCCACGAGCGCAGACAAGAATGGAAACCGCTTGTTTGAGCTTACTTTGGTTGAAGCTGTAGTGGGGAAAAGTTACCGGAGCGTGCCCGGGCCGCGCGCTTTGACAGCAGCTAAATGAGCGCGAGACGGCCAATGGAGAGGCTCGAGCGCAGACGTGATTTGCATGCAGGGAGGGGGGGCTCGAGGTTCTGGTGACGTCGGAGCGCGAGACCTAAAAATTACTCCCTCTGTCATCTGTTTTTTTATGTGTGTGTGTGTGTGTGAAAGAGAGAGAGAAAACACACAACATACAAACAGTTTAATTCCGGTAATTTTTGCGCACGTGCTCTTGCTTCAAACAGGCTGATTTAATCAGTGTTTACGATAAAAACAAGACGCCGTCAGGGCAAATTCACGCCACAAGCAAGTACGAATATAATACTAATATTAATAATTAATAACAACAGATTCACAGGCATCATATAAGCGTGTTAGCCCGCTGCTTACGGCCAGTGAAAACTACAAAGCAGAGCGCCTTCAGCTGCGTGTTTAGCTTTCCCGTTTAGCCGCAGCGCTATGAGATTTAATCCTTTGCTAAGTATTATACATTTAACCTAAATGGTCCCTAAAAAGCTCACCCCCACCATTTTTTTTGCCTCTCATTCAGAGCCACAGGTGCTTTTCTGTTGTGCCCGTTGCTAGGTAACAGGTGAGTGACGCCCGGAGCACGTGCCATACAAAGCAGCATCTTTTGTTTGTTTCACCGGCGCTCCCGTGGCGAGCACGCACGAGAGGAAAAAGAGGAGGAGGAGGGAGGCCAGAAAACAAAAACTACAGTAATCCCATAATAAACGTTGGAAATGTTAGAGGCTCTTAATGAAAGCATTTCAATAAACTAATGAGGTCTAATAATAATAATACTAATAATAATGACGACGCTGTCAAGCAGCGGCAGGCCTGCTGCATTAGGCCCCAGATCTTCTTCCATGCTTCTGCTTTTGCAGAGATCATTATTATACATTATATATATATATATATATATATATAATATATATATATATATATATATATATATAATATATATATATTTTCCCCTCTGAATAACTGTTCATAAATTCCTACAAATGCACAAGTCACGTTTTATTAGGGCTTCCACAAATAATCATAATCTGCACATTACTGCGTCTATTAATTGTTTGGTCAGAAAAATGTAATAAAAAAAGCCCATCACAGTTTTCCTGAGCTGACTACTCACAGACCAAAAGGGAAAGATATTCAGCTTAAATGTAAGCATCTGAAACCCAATAGAGAAATAATTCAAATAATTAATCAACAGGAGCTAAAAGGAGTGCAATTTATTTGCATTTGAATCTGTTTTTGGGCCCATGTGGTAGCTCCGAAGCCCTAAAATAGAAAAAAGAAAGAACACATAACAGACAGATAACATTAACATTTCAATTTGCTGTTAGGTATTCCGGTCTCCTCCTGCTTCCCTGGCTTCCCATCATGTGCAGGATCTTTTCATCCCTCTGGGATTATGCTCCCAAGTGGCATCTGTCAGGTGCTGCCCGCCTCTCAGCGAGCTGCTAAACTATATTGGCATGTTGGCACGGCTGGATTTTCCTGTCTCGCTCCCTTGTACCAGTTGGGTATAGTGCTGTTAAGTGGCTTGTGTGATCTGTTTAGCGCTCACTGTGAAATCTCTCTGCTTTTTCTCTTTCTTTTTTTCATGCTTCCAGCACACACACACACACACACACACACACACACACACACACACACACACACACACACACACACACACACACACACACACACACACACACACGCGCGCGCACGGATGAGCACATTTAAATCCAGCAGAGGAACTCTTTGAGAAATCACATCAAAAGAATTGACAGAAATATTTCCCATTGAACAAATAATAATATCCTGTCAGTGAATGCACTTTGTGCTATTTTCTGATCTATTCATTTATTGATTTTGCGGCAGTGAGGGAGAGGGACTTTGTCACATACTGAGGGCTCACCTGACAGCTGATAGAGATTAAAACTCTTTGAAAGATTCTTTGTTGGGGGACATTTGGATGGTTTCATTTACACGAAAAAGGCCGCAAGGACACTGCTCCCACCCTGTCTGTTACTCCATCATCAGTTAATTGGTCCCGTGTGGTGTCTTACTGCAGGTGAATTACCTGCTCCAGGTAAAAGCAGCCCCTTGGATATCCCCGAAGGAAATCTGGTCTGCTTCTGATTGTCAACGAGCACCATGTTTAGTAGCAAACATTATTGCTGCTGTTTTTTGTTTTTTTTCCATCTGTGACATAATTAAAGCTTGTTTGCATGCACATCAAAAGTGCAATTAGAGAATGATTAAGGCTATTTTTTTTAACAAGTTGCACATGCTCAGAGGAATATTTGAGGGCCTGGTGAAGTGTGTCGCTGTTATAGAGATCCACTTTTCTTCATTGTAGTGAAAATTTGATCTACTGGAGTCACTCTGTATTATTTGGAGAACTATTTATATGTGACCTTGAACCATATGAAGTTAGAAAAGCCAGTGCAGGTGCCTTCACAATACTAATCCAATGTATCTTTATTTTTCCGTCCCTGACTGAGCCTGATTTCCAAACCTAATCAGGTATTCTCTTCATATTAATCTTCATTATCAGGTTATTCTGAAAAACAATTTGTGTTATATATTCAAAAAGCACAGAACTGGAAGTGGAAACAAATGAACAGTTCATCCATCTTTTTTCTTAAGCCATGTCAGTTTTTTTTCTTTGGTAATTTTCTTTAACTTTATTATTATTATTAAAAAAGATAAGGGTAGCTTGCTGGAGTTTGTGTTCCCTGCTGTGCCATGGAAACAGGGGTAAATGGTGACTAAGTAAATAGCTGCTGTGTTTTGCATGCATGTTTAATTGTTATTAAGGAGCCAGTGGACAAAAATAATGTGATGAAATAAAGAACTGACTCATATCAGGTTATCCAAGTGAAGCTTTATAGTATTTACAGAAGGTTAACAACATGTTAAGATTCCAGGTGGTGTAGATGTAACTGAGGGAGTGTATTGACATATGTATTGCCCTAATAACTCCTGTCAATGCAACAACTTGTGTATTATAAGTGAGGCTTTGTGCTGGCTGTGTTAAAGCTCACCAGCTCCTCAACTGTTTATTGTGCCGCTGAATAGGAAGAGAATGTTAACAAATTAAAGATGTGAGAGTGACAGAGAAAGCATGGATAATGTAGCTTGAATCATGCAGTTTCATTTTTGATAAGGCAGCGTGTGACATCCACAATCATACATTATCTGCAGAAACCCGGAAGGATACAAGTAGTTTGTTCAGTGTCTCAGTGGAAGAGTTAGCAGTTAGTGAAACAGTTTAAAGGAACCTGAGCAACATTTATGTGGTTTTTAGCCATCAAAACTCCTGAGTTTGTGTGTTCAGTAATCCTGTTGTCTTGAGGTGGCAGATGATGTTGATGAGATGCAGTTCTTCATTTTCAAGCTTCACTTCAGATCAGTGAAAGTCTGCAACAGACAGAGCAGTTTAGCAAACTTGATAGAAGGGGGGTGGGGAACAAAGCACTTTAAAAGAGGAAGCACAAAAACAACAGCTTCATTCAGACAGTTTCCCTCATTTTATACTATTATTACTGCTCTTGATATGAGCGCTGCTGTCCTGACAAGCTCAGCTAATCTAAATAAATAAATAGCCTTTCCTCAAAATCACATTCAAAAGTCATGGCCAAAGTTACAGCTTGGTTGGGTTTATTCCCCCCCCCCCCCTAGTTTTGTGAATAAAAAAAAAAGATGAGTGTTTTCCCTGGAACATTTATCTCTTCAGTGGTTTAAAATTAGACTAGATGCTTTCCCATCATCAAAATCCTTCACATTTCTAACAAATTGAATGCTTAAACATACTAAACACTAAAATAGCAAAAGTCCTCTGTATAAGCGAAATGACATTATTAAAATAGTTTGCACTGGTTCAATTACCTGAAAGTTGGTGCACATGAATATTTTTTATTTTTGTACTTAAAATTAAAAATTGCATATGCATGTATCCAGCAGCTGCTGGATTTTAAGCAGACAGCAGCACTGAGTGAGCCTGGACAGGCTGGAAATATCCAGACTGCTCTGACGGATATTGTTTGTGTCAGGGCAGCCAGCGGGCCGATAGCACAGTGCAGGAAGCTCTGCTGTAGGTTGACTCTGGATTTTTGGAAAGTGAGACTTTCAGATGTGGGATTAAAACAATTATTCAGTTTTTCAAGTTTATAAAAGCCAAAAAGGAATAATGAAACACTGGATGACTTCTTGTGTTATCAGACATGTTTTTTTTCTTTCAATAAGCGCATTCACTGCTGTATTTTGTTATGTTTTTTTTTCTGTTTCATGGTCTATATATTAAAAATCTATGTGTATGCACTTTCAGACAGAGGTAATTCATGTAAAAGATGTTTTTTGTGCTGTCAGAAACCCTCATTTCGTCAGATGATGATCACTCTGTAGTCAATACAATATGTTCACAACTACGAAGGAAGTTCAACATAGTCAGATTTGCTTTGTGTTAGCTATCTTAACAAAGCTTAAACCCCAGTCAATCAACACAGCTTTCTTTGTTAACCCAGCTTTCTGCTTCAGCCTATGTTAAAAGAATTGACATAACTACTGTGACGCCATCCACTAGTTTCTGAAGTCCTGTTTTGAAGGCTCAAGATCAGCTTCCACTGCCGGCATGCCAAACACAGCATAACCAAGATTTACAAAATAGGAAGTTTTTTTTAATTCAGCAGAAGCTGAACGAGTGACTGAGATCATGAAATTCGTGAGCAAAATGTTTAGCAGAGATATTGTCATTAGAATGGGTGATAGAGATTTTACAAGATTATTAAAATATAACAGCAAAATGCAACACTGGTGCACTGGTGATGATAATCACAACCACGCATCAGTCGCAATCACAAAGAAGATTGTCTCAAGTTCTCTTTATTTTGCTGCTCCCAGTGTTTTTTATTTGCTGCTCTCAGCTGCACATTAAAGCTCTGAAAGTTGATTTAGCCCAGTAAAATCAGACTTTATGCTCCACATAGGTCGCTAACCTATCATTCTCACTTCATAGTACA